TCTTGCTTCGTTAGTCAAAAGTATGGTGCGGTATCTTGTCCTCTAGTAGTGAGGCGAATCTAAAGCTCTTACGAACATTAGTCTGCCGTGTAGAAATCGAGTTCTTTGAAATGGTGTCTAGTTGATGACGTCACTAGGGTGACCCCTCAAGGTTCCTCGTTTCTTTCAGCTGCCGACCAGCCAGATCTGTCTCTCTCTTCATGATGTTCTCCGCCCACATCTCCTCTTGGATTCTCAAATGAGTCAGTGGAGCTGACAACGTAGCTTATCCCTTTGTGAAACCGTGAGTATCAAGTAAGTCTAACAATCGATACATAAGGATTACAACCTTCGGCTTTTGGTTAGAGCTTGATCGATGGAGGCATCTGATTATTAATTAACTAGGAGCATTTCAGTGCTCCACACCGCAGTCTAGAACCAAAGTGGACGGTAAATATTACTCAAAGCACTGGTAAGGCACATCCTATACATCACAAATGCCCGTACTAATGCTCAGGCCAAGAAATGTCTCGCATACAGATCCACTCATCTCCTATAAATCTCGTGTGATACCCTTCATTATATGCATTAACGTAAAACTGTGGAGAATGACGTGAAGGAGACGTATTCGAGATTGAGGGTCTCAACCTTTGCAGTCGGAATATTCTGCGCCGTGTGGAACGCTAAACGTCTGTGCCAAAGCCTCGTGCTCGGCATAATGGCATCTTCAAGCATATAAAACGGGTCTCATTTGCATCCATACCCCTCAGACTCCAGTCTACTCTCTAGAATCACTTACGACATGACTCAGGGTATTGCTCCAGGAACGTACAAGATCGTCAACGCAAAGGGAGGTACTGCGCTCGACCTCTCTGGTGGCGACAACCGCACTATTATTGGCTTCACTGTTCACGGTCAGGCTAATCAGCAGGTCCGCCTCATCTCCCTCCCATTCACTAGACCAACGTTCTGACTATTTATTTCCAGTGGACTGTCAGCGAGCCCGACTCAGATGACAACCAGACGATTTTCTGCCAGGCTTCCAACCTCTATCTAGCCATTGAAGATGCACCTAACGATTATACGCGCATCATTGCGAGCTCGTCTCCGACGCGCTGGGCTATCCGACGCGCTGGGCTATCCGACGCGCTGGGCTATCCGACGCGCTGGGCTATCCGACGCGCTGGGCTATCCGACGCGCTGGGCTATCCGACGCGCTGGGCTATCCGACGCGCTGGGCTATCCGACGCGCTGGGCTATCCGGCGCGACGGTAAAGATCAGAACTTTTGGCGTGTGTTCTTCCCTGGAACTGGATTCAACTTCGATCTTTCCGACCATGGTAACCCAACGGTGAGTCATTTTGTTGGATGTGATATCGGCTAATTATTGATGTCGGGCAATGGGGATTGTGCTACTATAGCCTGGAACGGTAATTCACCTGTGGAGTGCTACTGATGGAAGGAACCAGCTCTGGAACTTTGAGAACGGCAAGCGGTGCTCTCTTGTTCTCCATAAAGCCCTTTATCTCATTTTAAACTCTAGTTTGAAGGCATTGATTTTGGATGAACATGGAAGGGCTAATATTGACATTAATTTTCTAACCGCTCCTATTCCTTAGATGTATAACTGCATCGATTTGTGTACTCGAACTATATGTGCTCACAATACATGCGACAGTCAGTACTATCTGATTTGTAACTGCTTTGTACGGAGTATTTATAAAGGTGTATATTCTACAATTGGTACCGTCTTGGTTGACAGCAAGGGGATAAATGAGGAATTAATAAAAACAATTATTAATGGAATCTTCAACCAAGCGGAGATTCTATAAGCAAGTTAGGAGTATCTGCGTTGTGGTCGAGAGGTAGAACGATTGGCACTCTGTAAAGCAAATTCTGTTCTCTGTTTGTTACTATTATACAGATCCGAAACCGCTGCTACTGTAATTACCAGACTGTACTACTGGGGTACGTTATCGCTGACAGAACAGAAAATGGCGGCGGACTTCTACTGAGAGCCTCTTCAATACTGACCGGCTTCTCGTCATCAACATCACGGGTGTCCAATACCATGTCTTCCTTGCTTCGCACAGAACATCCAATATTGTCGTCGTGTTTGTCACAACGACTCTCGTCGACGGTCTGCTGCCATCCAGTAATTCTCTGTGCATTTAGTTCCACCATTTCCTTTTCACGTCGCTCTTCCTCTGCTTTAATGTCCTCAGGCCGAACGCCATGAATTTTCATCTGCATTGCAAGAACCCAGTCCCAGAAATCGAATTCTCTTTCATCCTCGTTAGCTCGGTCACGGTTATCATCACCAGTTCTCGACCGATGAGCATTCCTTTCGCTACGTTTCTCAGATTCTGCCTTGCGTTTGCGTTTTAGCTCTTCTTTTTCTGCATTTCCTTCTCTATCTTCACCCCTTTTGATAATACCATCCGGATAGTGCTTCTTTTCGGCGGTTTTTTCCAGCATCTCCTTCGCACTTGTACTACAGAAGCGATAAAGCACGGCGTAGGCATAGGTGATGTCAAGTAAGATGTCTTTAGGTAGGTACTCCGCAACAGTTCTCCGTCGTCCTGTGGGAGGATGTTCCAAACCAGAACCCTCTTTCATGTGAGAACGGGCACCGTGATGTAGGTTAGCACGCCTTTTCTCACTCTCTAGCAAGCAATGGATAGTGACACAATAAATGTCTGGGGGATCATTTTCTCCACCTGGCACCTCGCTGGTCTTGAGGAACCTGTTCGGTGTCTACGAACATATTATTTAGTGTTATCACAGAATACATAGCACATTACTCACCTTAAGGAAAGCATTGTTCTTCCTGTCAAAAGCGCGATGAAGTCGTACATCCGTCACTATCTGATTCTGATAGTCATTGATAGTCATGGTATTGTTGGGATCACCACGGCTTGCTAGTAGTCTGTGAAGATACTGGAACATAAAAAAGTAAGCATCAGTTTTAATTCACTGTTATGAAGCTCACGTCGTCGCCCTTTGCAAACGGTATCAGGTGGCACACATCACATTGGTCCGGCGGCTCCTGGGTAAACGGGCAACCACCGTAGAATTCCTTTAGATCTTCTGGTATAACACGAGACCGGGTAGAGGTAGAGGACTTGCGATCGTTGCGAGAGCCCCTCAGATACCAATCCAGGAAATTTGCTTCTCCGTCAAAACAAAAAACATAATGGTCTCCCGGGATGACATCCTCTTCCATTTCCTCTCCGGTAAGATCCTCGCCGCTATTAAGAAGACGAAGTCTCCCATCAATACCGCATATATGAGTCGATACATAGAGAAGCCACTTGCGCGGCTTGAGTGAGTAGAGCTGCATGCAGTCATGAGAAATGTGCAACAGTGGGCTGGGATCGTGACCAAGCGACATGTACGACAGTGAAACTCTTTTATCCTCGCCTGCGTCGCCTGGAATGCTGGTACTTGTTTGAGGGGCAGCGGAGTCGACACTCATGGTTCCTGACAGTAAACTGCGAGTGAGTAGTTCAAGTTGAAATGCTGAGCCACAACGACATGCTCTAAAGTCACGTTATAGTTTTCCTCGCCTCGCCTAATTTATTTGATTATATCTGTACTTATGTTAAGTACGCCTAATATCGCGGACTTCAGAAATGATTCACAATGTGGTCATAAATAAATCCAATAATGTTTTTGCCTTTTATTCAAACCAACTGAACATTTCCTGCCAAAATAAAATGCCATAATGCATAAATCTCTTAGTGAATTGACAAATGACTCTTCCCAGAATTATCCATAATGACATATTCTACTGTATCTGAAAGTATGTTCTTTTGAAGTAAAGAACAACTAAACTACTATGGCTAAAAATTATCGGACTATACTATTAGAGTATGTTTCGGCTGGTCAAATAGAATATGATGGCGGTTGTCTACTGAGAGCCACCTCAATACTGACGGGATCCTCGTCATCTCTGGCGTATGCGTGCAGTATCACTTCTCCTTCGTCCATCTCAGAACGTCCATCATTGACGTCGTGTTCGCCACAATAACTCTCATCAACACCCTTCTGCCATCGAGCAATTCTCTGTGCATCTAACTCGTCCGCCTCTCTCTTGCGTCGTTCTTCCTCCCCTTGAATGTCCTCGGGTCGAATGCCATGTATCTTCATTTGCATTACATCAACCCAGTCCCAGAAAGCGATTTGTCTTTGGTCCTTTTCAGGCTGCTCCTTGTCTCTTCTCAATCGTCGAATTCGCCTTTCCTTGGCAATGTCGACGGGATAGCGGTCCTCAGCATACTTTTTGAGCATCTCCTTCGCGTCTGTACTGCGGAAGCGATAAAGCACAGTGTAGGCATAAGTGACATCGAGCAAGACGTCTTTAGGTAGGTACTCCGAAACAGTTCTCCGTTGTCCCGCGGGAGGATGCTCCAAACCAGAACTCCCTGTCATGTGAGAACGGGCTCCGTGATGTAGGTTGGCTCGTCTCTTATCACTCTCTAGGAAGCAATGGACTGTGACACAATAAATGTCTGGGGGATCATTCTCTCCACCTGGCACCTCGCTGGTCTTGAGGAACCTGTTCGGAGTCTATGGACATACTGTTCAATATTGTCGCAATGCACATAGTACTCTGCTCACTTTAAGGAATGCATCGTTCTTCCTGTTAAAGGCGCGATGAACCAGCGCACTCGCTATTATCTGATTCTGAAAGTCATTGATAGTCATAGTATTGTTGGGATCACCACGGCTTGCTAGTAGCCTGTGAAGATACTGAAAGTAAAAAGTAAAAATCATTTATACTTCACTGTTATAATGCTCACATCGTCACCCTTTTCAAACGGTATCATGTAGCACACATTGCATTCGTCTGGCGGCTCCTGGATAAACGGGCAACCGCCATAATAATCCTTCAGTTGCTCCGGTACAGCACAGGACAGAATAGAGGAATAGGAGTCTTTATCACAGTGAGTGCCCCTCATGCGCCAATCCAGGAAGTTTGCTTCTCCGTCAAAACAAAACACATAATGATCTCCGGGGTTGACATTCTTTTCCATTTCCTCTCCAGTAAGATCTTCACCCCTATCAAGGAGACGAAGTCTCCCATCGATACCACATATATTGGTCGCTACATAGAGAAGCCACTTGCGTGGCTTGAGTGAGTAGAGCTTCATGCAATCATGAGGAATGTGCAACAGTGGGCTGGAATCGTGACCAAGAGGCATGTACGACAGTGAAACTCTCGTATCCTCGCCTACTTCGTCAGGGGCGTTGCCGCTTCCTTGCTTGGAGGTCATCATTTTGTGCAGCAGAGTCAACATGCATAGTCCTCGAAAGTGAGCAGAGAGCACCAGAGTGACCAGACTCGAACCGAAAGTCATGTGCCAGATTTCCACGCCAATATTTAACCATGTAAAAAAAATCATTGCTAATTTAAATAAATTTGACCTATTTATTTAACATATAAATAATTAAGAAAAAAAGGGACAAAGTAAATCTATTGTAAGCTATATGTCTTTGATTTGAGACTTCATGCCAAATAGGTAATATTAAAGTTTCTTAGGACCGTTGCACGGTGAGTCCAGTCACGTGCGCCACCCTGCATCGAGCCCCGACGTGTCGCGCGCTTCATCACTTTCAACAGACTATCGCCCGCCCATAACATTTTATCGCGCGACAAAATGTCCTCCTTCCTACAAGAAGCTCTGGAAGGAAAGATAGTAAATATCATACTGTTCTATGCTCATACCGGGTTGACTATAGCCTTCATAATGTCTTTGTAGGATTTCGAAGGACAGAAACTCACCGACTCGATAGTCCGAAATGTACTCATTGGCAGCACTGTCAGTCGTTTCTCATCTTTTCCCAAGTTTTACTATGTTTGCTTACGTAGTGTTCTCGTGATTCTTGTTATTGTAGGCGCTTGCATTTATACTAGGCTTTGTGGCACAATCGCTACGCGTAACTTTTGGAACGTTAGGCTTGGGCACGGTGCTTCTCATTCTCGTGAGTGTTTCGCGGCGTTCCTTACCAATTAGAAGGTGACAATTGATGCATGTTTTTTGTGACGAATTAAGGCTGTTGTGCCACCTTGGCCAGTATATAGGAGACACTCTATCAAATGGTTGCCTGTGAAGAAAGCGACGAAATCGGAATAGAACTATTTGATGTATCACCATTCGTAATCCGTGTTATGCGAATGTATGTGGGTTGCTCATGGAGCAATGTATTGTGTGGTGCGGACTTGTATTACGATGCAGAGCACCAGTTCTCTTCTAAATATGGACCTTTGCGCGAAGTTTCCTGCTCCTGCTTGTGCATATTAATGATTTTCTTACTTGTCTTTTCTCAGTGTATTTGCTCATCCTTCATCTCAAAATGATTTGGGTAGTAATGGCGTGTATGCGCTTGTCCTTGCTGATCAGGCAACGAAAGCACATTAAAATGAAAGGGATTCGAAGCGGAAAAGAATAGACGGCGTTACGTGAAACAGTACAAGATACACTACACGAAGGTAACCAAATTGCAGCAGAGGAAAGTAATGAACAAACCATACATCAAGCCTTTTCCTTCCCCCTCATCTCAACACTCGACAGACTCCTCGTCTCATGCAACTCATGCTCAATCACACGTTCCTGGTCCCTTACGCGCTTCGCATGTTCCTCCGCACTAATCGAGCCGAAGATGACATCCATCTCTTCAAGACTGCGACCTTTCGTCTCGGGGATGAGGAGGGAGAACGTGAACATAGCACCGATGTTGACAGTAGCGAACATGAGGAAGATTTTGTAGCCGATGTTAGCGATGATGTGAGGAGTGGTGTATGTGACGACGAAGTTCCAGAGCCATTGAGAGGCTGAGGCGCACGCAAGGCCGTAGTGTCGCGTGCGCGTTGGGAAGATGTCGGAGACGTAGACCTACGTTAAGTTGAGTTTAGTCGATGCCGTTGCTTTTATTTGCAGATGAAAGATCAGACAGATGAAGTGCTTACCCATGGTAGAGGTCCCCAGCCCATACTGTAGAACGCAACATAAATGTATAACATTGCAGCCATGGCCTTCGATGCTGGTGGGGGCGCGGCGCCTGCAGGAAGGGTACCAGGAGGATGTGTCTTGAGAATAGCGCCAATGATGAAGAACAGCGTGCCCATCCCAAACGCAGAGATGGCAAGGGAGAGCTTTCGGCCAAGCGATTCGACGAGGAAGAAGACGAAGAGAGCAGTGGCAAGGACCTTGACGATACCGTATATCCCTGATGCGAGTAATGATTGCGATGCGCCTTCGTAGCCAATCTGAGTCGGGTTAAAAAAATTAAGTCAACGGAGGAAAGTAATGAAGTTATTAAGAACGTACGGCAGCGAATATCTGCGGTGCATAATATCCAACCGAGTTCTGTCCCGCCCACTGCTGCAACAAGAAGATAACAAAGGCAATTACGAAACGAACAAAGTTCCCTTTGCCCAGGAACGCTTCTTTCCACCCTAGATCTCTACGTGCCTCTTGCTCCTCCTCAATAGAGGCTTCAATCTCAGCCATCTCGAACATCACTTCCTCGTTGTCTGCCGGTAACTTACGCAAATATGAGAGATTTGCTAATGCTTCTTGCATGCGACCGCGTGAAGCGAGCCAACGCGGAGATTCTTTCACGAAGAGAAGACCGATACACATGATCCCTCCGGGGACGAGTTGGAAGCCGAACGGGATTTGCCAGACTTTCGCACCAACGGGGTTGTGTTGGCTAATTCCGACTGAGAAAACATTAACATATACATGTGAGAATAACCGTTAAAAGGGCACCCAAAGAGACAACTCACAGTTAATGAAATAGCTGAGCATGACTCCTATCGCAACCATGATCTGGAAGAGCCCAGTAATACGACCTCGAACGTCTTTTGGCGAGCATTCCGACACATAAGCAGGTGCGACAGCGGAAATAGCTCCAACACCCAGCCCAGCAATAACACGTCCAGCATAGATGTACGAAATACCTCGTCCATTGACTCCCGCAATTGTCTGGAGGATCGCACCAACAATGAAGATGAGCGAGAAGCCTAGCAGGGTGTACTTGCGTCCGAAGCGAGCTAGTAGATTACGCGCGCGTTAAGAATACTGAAATTCAATAATGATGAAGCGATCTGAAGATTGACCTGAGATGGGGGCACTCCCCAGAGCTCCAAAGAAAGCACCAGCTTGGAGAACGGAAACGACGTTGGAGGTGAGTGCAGTGACCTGTTTGGGGTCGATAGACCCATCTGGGTTGGACAGGAAATGTTGCTTAAAGTAGTCTTGTGCGATGACACTTCCTGCTACACCGCTGCAATCAACATGTTCAGCACACTGCATATGTTGACAGGGAGGTAAAGAACTCACGTATCGTAACCAAAGAGTACGATTCCCCAGAACGCGATGAACGCCAAAACTGAGCGAAAACGTGAGTGGTAAGTGTGCGGGCACGGCGAACGATAACACGACGTACAGTACACTCGGCTGTTCCGAAAAACGTCGCTGACAGCCATAATACAGCACCCAAAGTCAGCTCACGATTGCAATGGGCTACTGGTTGCGATTGAGGATGTGGAGAGAGAGGACACTCCCACGAAGGAGAAGACCAGCCAGAACATCAGCGCTGGTATATATATGTTCTCGTAACTCTGCATGCTACAACTCACGAACATGTTCGATGCCGGAGCCGCTATTTAGCGCTGGCATCGTGCATTTATTAACGAACGGGCCGCCCGGTCCATGTCCATACCGTCCCTAGATGCGCTCTTGCCCCGCATCTCATCATGGATCGTGATTTAACACGGATGTGAACCTGTGCAGTCTGGGGAAATGCGCAAATCTTACAAATTTAGTGCAGACAGATGATGATGACGAGACTGGAAAATACGATAAAATGGATTCCCGGATAGTAATCCGAAATTCGGCCGTCGTTTGCCTTGTCCGTTTTGAAGTTCTAAATCTTAATATGCTTCTTTCCTTCAAAAATGAAGACGGCCACCAAGCTCGTGCCGATTTTCTCGGCTCTCGTGAATCTAATGTTCGAAGTTCGACCCGCTAGCTTGTCCACCAAACATTATGTAACTACAATCTCTAGTCCTTGCAAGCATATCCTTTCTATCAATGTTCCTCATTAGTTTTAGCAACAGAATTCCCTGAGTATAATGTTGAAGGCAAAGTTCTTCTGATATCCTTTTCCAGTTTCACACTCTGTTGTTTTGTGTGATACCAAATTACAAGGGTGAGAGTTCTACAAAATAGAATTTCAAACAGAAGTAAAATACAAGAGGGAAAATGCCTTTAGTAATAGAGAAGACTGATCTCAGAATTAACACAATATGAAAATACAAGTGTATAATATGAAATTCACTTATATATTTTAGTATAAGAGTTGTGTACTAAACCAAATTTAGTAAGCAGAATAGTTAGAGTACAAAAATAAATCAGAGTCTTAGTAAAATGTTAAACAGGCAAGCAAAATAGAGAGTAGAAAGGAGGTAGAGATAGAGGAGAGGAAGAGTTTTTATTAAGTTAATAAATAAATTACTAATAGTGAGTTAAATGTTAGGTAGCAGGACAGAGAATAATTTACAGTTGTTAAGAGAAAAGGAGAACAATATACAAATACAGTAATTTATTTCTAAAAGTAAATTCTTTTAATTGCTAAATAACACTTTAGTAATATACAAACTAGTTACTTTTACCAAACAAAGACTCTGTTCAAATAAACTTAATTAAGTTAATATATATTTAATAAGAAGTAGAGAAAAGTATTTCTTACTAAATAGTTCTTAATAATCTCTTAATAGTTATAATATTGTTAGTTTATATTAAACAAGTTTAATATATATAGTACTAAGTACTATAAGTGATTATAATAACTTACTACTCTATTACTTAAACTTACTATTATAGTTAAACCTAACACTGTTGAGCTAAAAGACTCTTAGCTTGTATATAGTATATAATAATGTATAATGTGTAAAAATATTCTTAATTATATAGTTACTTGTGTTAGTAACTTTTTTCTAGTTATTAAATAACTTTTATTCTTTAAACTATTATATATAAGTATATCAAGTAAAGGATTGTTTAGATTAAAGTATAGTGTTATGTTAAATGTTAATTCTAAGTCTTATATAAAGTTACTATACTTAGAAAGAAATAATACTCTCTGACTACTAATAAAGGTAAAGTCTTTTAAGTAATGATTTTTAAATAAACTGTGTTATAGGATAACTTTGTTTCTACAGTACTATTAAAGTAATATTAAGAAAATGATTAATACACTTAGAAAGACTAAACAGCTTGTTAGAATGTATATTCTTAGGTTATCACACAAGTAATGAGGGTGTAGACCCTAATAATAATATGTATTTTGTTAATAAGTCATTTGTTTTATATTATTTGTCTGTTTGTGTGTCTTAGATATCTAAAGTATTATTATCTGATATTCAATACTTATTGTGTATTTAATACATGTCTCATAGTTCCATGTCTGTTCTGTTTATATACATATTATTATTTTTTTACATGTTAACAGTCCCCTTCAAACATTTACAAGACCTATTAAGTCTGTAAAGTGTTTGATTTTCAGAACATGTAATGATTTAGTTAGGATGTCTACCCTTTGATTGTCCATTTAAACATACTTAATATTAATAAGTTATTCCTCAACATAACATTTAATAAAGTTGTATCATAAGCTAATTGTTAGGAATTGTAAAATACAGTAACTAAGTTTGGAAAAGCTTAACTCAAGACTTGGGACTGAGTAGTTTATATACAAAACCCTATTGGTCACAAGTCTAGAGATTGGCCAGATCAACTAGACTACCTTTGTTGTCCTGCTTAGTAAGAACTCTAGCTCAGCATTATTAACCTCTAATCATTACTAATGGGTGATCAATCCATTAACAGAGAGAGGGGACAGGAAGGAGTAGGTACCAAGTCAGTTAGGAAAAGGTAACAAAACCTGAGGACAAGGTCTTTATCTCTCCAAGGTTAAACACATACTCTAACACAGTATTACTTGATAACCTTAACCAAAGACAAGTCATTTAGAATGCTTGTATAGAGAGGGGATCTGGAAAGAGTATAGTGTCCAGAGCAAGAAGTATAAAGGAAAAGACTAGGAGAAAACCTGAAGAGATAAAAGGAAAATATTATACTTACTTACTACATAGCTAGCTAGGAATGCTTTATACAAAGACAAAGGACTATTAAGCTAGGAAGAGCCAGAGCCAATACTCTAAAGCTCTATACTTGAGAGGACTAGTACTAGT